AGATCGCAGAATTGTAGATGGACATACCATGGTGGATTGTAGTTCCAAATGATGGAACTGAGACCTAGCATCCATATGTATAGAAGGTTAGTATTTATTCCATCTTATATGTCTAGCCTGGGAAAAATAGTTCTGTTTTTTTTCTCTAACTGAAATAGCTTGTTTTCGTAGGCAATTGCTCTTACACATGTTTCTATCTCATGCCATTAAACAGACCATTCTTTTCAACCACCCCGCTTGCAGTATGCCATTGTATATGTCTGGCTTGCTTCAACTGTTGCTGACTCAATTTGATTTCTTCTGTCGTGCAGACCTCAAGAACGGCGGTTGCATCAGCTTCAGCGATCCTAGAGCTTCCTATCATGTTAGAAGGACGTATGTCAGACTCTAGCCCACGTTGCACCCATGGTACTTCTAATGGATCGCATTATCAGTATCTGTGAATATTGTTACATGCAGCGTAAACATGTAGTCCTTTCTAATAGCAAAATGTTCCTAATTCCTTCTTCCGGATTCAAAGTTGCTACAAGACATTGCTATCTGTATGCCATGGTATGATTCTAGCTATTGAATGTTTTATCCTGATGCTTTGACTGTGCAAATATGTAGCTGCCATTGAATGTACGAAATAAAAAAATGTCTAAATTAGATGGTGCAGTTTTTCGATTGGCCTGTTTCTGCTCACCTGGATGGCTCACATGTGCTAAAAATTGTACATTTTATGGTGTTTGAAAATCAAGCATCTTATATGTGCTTGCTTTAAAAAGCCTTTGGAGGTGGGAAATCGGCAATGTTATCTGTCTAACTTCAACTAGCTCTAATGAATCCCTGTATAATTTATGCCTGTAAAATATCGATGGTAATTATTGTAAGGACTTGCTTTATGTTTATTTGTTTAAAAATTAGATAATTTTACTGAATGATAAATTCCTTGAGCAGGTCTACAAATTCTTTTATCATAACAGAATTTTTTGTGATTAAAAGACTTGGGCTATGGATATGAGCGCTCAGATTCTCTTCCTCAATCATGTGATTCTAAAATGTAAGTTTACACTAATGTTATTTATTCTTCTTGCTATTATCACTTCTGATAAAATATGCGTCGAGCATCTTTGGCTGATGTGCCGGGATGTTCCCTATATGGCGATTTCTTTTATGTTTGTGCTTACCAGACACTAGAGTGATGACTTCGATCAAAACTTGCATGCCTACAATATAAGGCGTCCTGTGTTTGAATTGCACTGCACTAAATGCTAGGAATCTATTTTTCTTTTTTCTTCTTGGCTCATGGGAGGGGGGAATGTTAAAGGAAAGTTGTTCACCTGATGAATCTTTTCTACATTATATCTTTTTGAGCTAATCGTTTTGTTAAGCCTCTTCTCCCATAAAAAGGTAAACACACGTCTTGCAGTGGTATTCTTTGTCATAAAAATCGTGTAGCAGAGAGATCAGTAGTGTTGCTGATCTGTTTGTGATCTAAAAGTTAATTGTAATGTTGAAGGCTTACAATACTGAGTTGCTAAATGGAAGCCATGACGCATCGAGCACACACCACTCAGAATAGCAATGACTGCTTGCTTGCCTAGGAGCTGTCAGCTGTGAGCTTCATACTGCAAGTGGAGATCCAACATCCAACAGGTCAGTGGCACATTTGTTATTATCATTACATGGACAAGGTGTTTAGAAAACCTTTGAATGATGTTATTGATCATGACAAAAAGCAGTTGTTCAAAGAAAATGAACTTGCCCAAAGTTTCAAACCTATAGTACAGTCAAATACTATGAAATAATGTGCTTTAGGTGACCTTTATATTCATGGTGCCAGCATAATTTGCATATAAAATTAACACTAGATTATATTCATGCTTGACGGTCTTTTTGGTTAGTGATATCATGATTTTATTATGATAAAAAATACCATATATTCCTGATGGCTTTACACTCTTTTGCAAACCTCTGTTTTATCAGTTTTGTGTATGAAACCTGGAGTAGAACTACTTTACATTATGTCCAGAAAGCTACCAGATCCTGTCATACTTCAGATAACTTCATCTACAATCTGTCATTATCCTCTACAACATGACTCTTTTGACTTCTATATATTTTTAGTGGGGACTAACTATTTACTTGGTTATAATACAATACTAGCTCGAGCACCAAATCTGAAAGAGGTCAGTTCACATTTTTTTTATGATCCCTTGTGAATATTGAAACCACCTCTTCACAATTTTGAAACATGTGAATCTTCAAAGCTTGAGACCACCTCTTTTTTGTTGCATAAAAGCTAAGGTAATTTCCAATGTTCAAATGGAACTACACTCCATTTGTTCTGACAAACCCCAATCTATATAATGTTTATTCATTTGATATATGTTCTCTATTTTTATTTCAGGTTACAGGTGAAAGGGAAAGTTAGGAAATTTGGCTTGCGAAAGTGAATCGGTGCTTATGTCACGATGTATGAGCCTTAGCGGGTTCGGCCAGAACTGTTTTTTATTTTTAAATCATGTGTCCTGTGTCCATGTATTTTTAAAATAATCAATACATAGTTGGGCAAATTTGGATATTTTTTTGCAAAGAAAGTTATATGCTCCCTTTATGAATCCAGTCAGTATTTGCATATGTATACTTTTCTAAGTTCCTTTGTATCCCATGTGTATTCACTTCATCATAGCTAAACATTATATATAATACGGAAAGATCTAAATGAATCACCAAAACAATACATATACCACATTGAAAGGGAAATACCACGTCAACATACTCCGGAAAGGTAAGCCACGCTATCCTCACGCATCCACGATGCTCGAATACCAATCACAACTCACAAAGATCAAAGTGATGTAACCTTAGCAAGAGCGGTATCACAAGTTCACAGCAAGAAAAACACAGAGATGTACACATCACCTGCGTGCGCGGCGAAGCGCGCAACCCGGCCTAGTAAGATACAATACGCTAGAGTGGTCAATGGCGTCGCTACCTTAGCAGAGTTTGGCACCCGTGCTAAATACTTTTTTCTTAGGAGCAGTACTGCCTAGTCGATAGGAGTACGGAGTATGCTGCATTACTGAGGGCGCGTTTAGTTGACGAATTATTTTGGTTTGGGCTACTGTAGCATTTTCGTTTATATTTGGTAATTAGTGTTTAATTATGGACTAATTAGGTTCGAAAGTTTCGTCTCGTAATTTCTCACCCAACTGTGCAATTAGTTTTTTTTTCGTCTACATTTAGTACTCTATGTATGTGCCGTAAGATTCGATGTGACACTTTGAGGTGAAAATTTTTTAGGCCTGAATTTGATCCGTTGTTCTGGGTTACTGAATGGACAGTGTTCAGAACCTTCAGTTTCATCAGATAAACAGCAGGGTCCAGACAAATTTTATTCTGGAGGAAGTGAATGGACGTTATGCAGTTATGGAAGAGTGAATATTCGTGCCTTTGCTATGAGATAAACTGAAGCCTTTTGCTTTGAGAAAATTCAGAGCAGAATGCGTCAAGTCAAGCTGTCAGTTACATTCACAGATTGCTTTGAGAAAATTCAGAGGAGAGCGCGTCAAGATGTCAGTTACATTCAGATCAGAGACCCACCTCCTTACAAAACTGAATAACGTAATCTTGCTAGACACGTACGGAGTACAAAGATAAATCCAAAAATAATTTATTTATAAAGAAGAAGCAAACGAGATTCTACAAGATTTACAACGTCCGAAGAAAGGGGCGGGGATGAGTTCTGTTGGGTGTGTGTGGTCTAGGCAGGCACGGGCTGGGCTTTAAGATGCGTGCAATTTTAAAAAGGAGGAGCACTGTAGTATTTCCCAAAGTAAATAATCCAAGGAGTTCAAGTTAGCACTAATAATATAACTACAGTGCGAAAGATTTCTCTCTCTCGTATATCCCCGTCGTGAGATCTACGTAGACTTCAACTGAATGAAATAAATAAATGCAGCAACGTTTGATCCAGTCTAGCGAAGGGAGTGTTCGGCTGAGCAAGTTCGGCTTCTTTTTTCCAGCCAGAGCAGTATTTTTTTCTCATAAATTTTCAGCATAAATAGTATTTCCAGCATGAACAGGGCAAAATTTCATCCCAAACGAACACTCCCGAAGATGTTTTGTCCGAGCAAACATAAATCGGCTCAAATATAATCACAGGTGTCCCAATCGAACCTGCCCCACGGGATGGAAATGATGCTTGACGCAAGATGCAACTCTAATCTCAGCCCTTTGTCTAGTTCCTTCTCAAAAGTTTAGTCCATATCTTATTTCTTTGTCTAGTTCCTCCTCAAAAGTTTAGTCCATATCTCATCAAATGTTGAATACGTACGTAGAGTATTAAATATAGATTAAAAAATAACTAATTATACAGTTTGCGACTAATTTACGAGACGAATCTTCTTAGCCTAATTAATCTATGATTAGACAGCGTGGTGCTACAGTACCCATATGCTAATGATAAATTAATTAGTCTTAATAAATTCGTTTCGCGAATTATTGATAGATTCTATAATTTATTTTTTTATTAGTACTGAACGCCTGTAAAAATACCCGAGGTGACACCAACAACTTACGTGATTTAAACAAGGCCTCGCTTGTTTTTGCCCGGATCTGAAACATCCTATCCAACCGCAGCTGCGACTGCCTCAACGTACGGCAAGCGGCGTGTGTACGTGAAACATCCATCCATCCGATCCGCGCATCCGGCGGCCGATCTCGGCCGTCGCAGCCACCGAACCGGCACCGGAAATTCAACGCGCTCTCCCGCGGGCCCCGCCTGCCAGCGCCACACGCGCCAGACTCCACTGCTGCACTGTGCAGCCTGCAAGGCAAGCTCCAGCTCCTCCATTTAAGCCCACCCAGCTAACGGAGCTCATCGAAGCCACCCCGCCTCCACCCAACAAATTCCCGAGACGCCGGCCATTCCCACCATCCCCACAAAGCCAAAGCCAAGAGCACCACCAGAGCAGAGCATCGTCGTCGTCGTCGTCGGCCGTCGGGCAGCAGGCATGGCGGGGTTCAAGGTGACGCGGATCTCGGAGGGCCCGGTGAAGCCGGCGTCAGCGACGCCCGAGGAGACGCTGCCGCTGGCGTGGGTGGACCGGTACCCGACGCACCGTGGCTTGGTGGAGTCGATGCACATCTTCCGCTCCGGCGCGGACGTGGCGCCCGCCGTGATCCGTGCCGCGCTGGGCAAGGCGCTCGCCTTCTTCTACCCGCTGGCGGGGCGCATCGTGGAAGGGGAGCAGGCCGGGTGCCCCGCCATCAGGTGCACCGCCGACGGCGTCTACTTCGCGGAGGCCCAGGCGGACTGCAGCCTGGAGGACGTGCGGTTCCTGGAGCGGCCCCTGCTGCTGCCCAAGGAGGACCTCGTCCCTTACCCCGGCGACGACCGCTGGCCTGTCGAGCCGCACAACACCATCATGATGATGCAGGTATTGGCCGTCTCATCTCATCACAGCCGACCCATTCTCTCGCTTGCCGATTGCTCTGCGATGCGAGAGGGATTCGTTGCTCGTCGGATCAGATCCGGGCTTGGGCACGCGCGCGCAGTAGATCTGGTCTGGGGAGCACTGCAGCAGGGGCGACAGGTCAAAAGCCCAGCGGGGTCAGAGAAGGCGCGTTCGCCATAGCCAGGTCATTTGGGGAGGTTGACCGTGTCGGTTGATGAGGCTGGCAAGTGGGACCAACCCTGCCAGATTCCCGCCGTCGCGTAATAATCCCACATCGAATCCAAAAATTAGAATTAGCGCGGCGTGGGGTCGGCTAAAATGCAGGGGATATTAACGGCTACTGGTACTCTGGTAGTACTAGCCGCTAGATTCCCTCGGTTTCGCCGTTTCGCACGGGCACAGCCGCACAGGCTCTTTGTGTGGTTGAGCGCCGCGGTGGCGGTGGGCGGTTGGAGCGGATGGCCCCGTACTGAACGCGGGCGGTGAGGGCGTGAGGCTGATCCGCGCGGTTCTGGATATGTCCGTGCGTGGCGTCCGTGTTCCCCGTTCCGGGCTTCCGGCAGACGAGCCAGGTCGTCGGACACGCATGGCGTCAGGTGGGGCTGTGGGCAGAGGAGAACTTGTAGCGTACTAGCGTGGATAGCCAGTAGACCACGCCAACTCCACGCATGCGGCTGCCGTCCGACCGAACACAGCAGCCAATTCCGCCGAACACAGGCAGCGTGACATTGCGGCGACTTCGACCCCAGCCTTCCTTCCGCGGTGTGGCTGTGTCGTTACGCATGGGCCCGGGGCCTGGGTGGGTAGGGACTAGGGAGGGCGGCTGGTACTGGTCGGCAGGTCCGCACTGGCGTAGACGGCGGCCGGACGGACTCGGTGCCCGAAAGCGGCGCCACGATGTGAACCACGGAGGCGCCAAGAACGGGAGAGGCGTACCGAACTCGTCATGCTCTGACCACGACGCTCCAACTGCCATATGGTAGTAGATGTTGTTAGTGGTAGTGATCATCTTGCCATAACGCACAAACTGTCGGCTTAAACTTATCAAGCGACTTATCAGCTAGAATCTACAGTATTTTTCTCTTACAACAAATTAATTATAGCTATGCCAACCGAACAGACCTGTACCTGTGCTGATGCCGACCGGGCATGACCAGTCGTTGCCAGATACTAGCGGTAGTTTACTCGTACGTGTGTGTTGCTTTTGAGCCAAGGCTTGGCCTCTTTCCTGCTTTCGTCCACGGCCCACCGACAGCTTTGCTTTGGGGTAGTTGGATAAGAGCTGTGTCATGTCATGTGTGAGACCGCTCGTATAGATCTTTCGCAAGTACACCTTTTACTGTTGCGACTGGTCGCCACCGATTACATACTCTTTCTTTACTGTTGTGTGTGACTGATTGCCACCGAGAGATGGTTACGCTGCGTACTTCAGATTTGACAAAGATAACCTGTAGAAAGAAATAAATGCAAGCCTATAGAACTATGTGATTGATTAAGGCTGTCTCCGATAGGAAATATGAGACGCGTGAGGAGACCAAATTTAAAATGGTTCTTGAACGTAATATATATAGCCTTTCACATAAAAGATCCATTTTAGATGGTAGGAGAGGTATAATCTAAGGGCTTTGGTTTCTACATGCGTTTCTAAAATTTCTGTCACATCGAATATTTAGACACATACATAAAATATTAAATATAAACTAATTACAAAACTAATTACACAACTTGCGACTAATTTGCGAGACGAATCTTTTAAGCCTAATTAGTCCATGATTTGACAACGTGGTGCTACATTAAACATATGCTAATGATAGATTAATTAGGCTTAAAAAATCGTCTTGCATTTATAATTAATCTATATTTAATGCTCTTTATTAGTATCTAAATATTCGATGTGACATAAATTTTAGGAGCGACTAAAGAACCAAACACTCCCTAAATCTGAGTATTCTTTCTTCTGAAGACCCATTTGTAGAAATGGTTCTCTTTTGAATCTTGTTGTTGGAGAAGACCAAAAATTGATATTGAACTGTTTGTTTATAGCGCTATCCAAACGTAAAATTGGTCTTGTATTTTGGGTAACGGTTGTCGGAGACTGTCACCGTTTAATAATGCCTTAGATCTCGAGCGACAGGTATGATTTAGTACATGAACTTAGCTGAAGTTGCAACTTGCAAGCAAAAAAATTCTTACAATACAAACTCCTAGTACCATATGCCATTGCCTGGCTCCAGGCTCAGTGTTGAATGACACTATTGCATTGCATGGTCTCAGATCACAAAGTTCACCTGCGGCGGGTTCGTGATGGGCCTGCGGTTCAACCACGCGTCGGCAGACGGCATGGGCGCGGCGCAGTTCATCAACGCCGTGGGGGACATGGCGCGGGGGCTGACGGAGCCCAAGGTGCTGCCCGTGTGGCACCGGGAGAAGTTCCCCAACCCGAACATCAAGCCGGGCCCGCTCCCGGAGCTCCCCGTGCTGGCGCTGGACTACGTGGTGCTCGACTTCCCCACGCCCTACATCGACGACCTCAAGAGGCAGTACAAGGCGCACAGCGGCAAGTTCTGCTCGGGCTTCGACGTGCTCACGGCCAAGCTCTGGCAGTGCCGCACCCGGGCGCTCGCCCTGGACCCCGCCACCGAGGTCAAGCTCTGCTTCTTCGCCAGCGTCCGCCACCTGCTCAAGCTCGACAGGGGTTACTACGGCAACTCCATCTTCCCCGTGAAGATGTCCGCGCCGGCCGAGAAGGTGCTCGCCTCCTCCATCATGGAGGTCGTCGACATGATCCGGGAGGCCAAGGACAGGATGGCCGTCGAGTTCTTCCGCTTCGCCAAGGAGGAGACGGACCAGGACCCGTTCCAGATGACCTTCAACTACGAGTCCATCTATGTCTCCGACTGGAGCAAGCTCGGCTTCTCTGAGGTGGACTACGGTTTTGGCCCCCCCATGTTCGCCGGCCCGCTCGTCAACAATGACTTCATCGCCTCCGTCGTCGTCCTCAAGGCGCCGCTCCCGCTGGACGGCACCAGGATGCTCGCCAGCTGCGTCACCAAGGAGCACTCTGAGGAGTTCGCCCGTGGCATGAAGGAAGACCTGCCCTGAACTTGTGTTGTTCCTTATCATACAGCTGATCGATGATGAAACGGGGAAACTGAGATGAATGGTGACATAAAGATGCTTCTGTTTGGTTAATGTTGTTAATTTTGGTTGTATTTATTTGTCACTTTATATCTTGGTCAATACAGTACTACCTTAGACAGCATATTCGATCTTAATTTGTACCATTTGATACGAGACTGAGACAATAAAAAGGGTATACTGTCCATTTTTCGGTTGTTTGATGGTTGTTTGATGATCTTTGTTGTACCATTTGATACGAGACTGAGACAATAAAAAGGACCCCGCACGACGCGACCGACCGCGCCTAGCCTTATCCGACCGTGTCTTGCTCTGCTAGCCCGCATCCTCCTCCCGCTCCTCCTCTCTGCTCGCTCGACTCTCCGGCCTCGCTGCTGCTCGCTGCTCGCCTCCGCCGCCCCCTCCTCTCCTGGCGACCTCCATGCCACCGAGAGAGGCGGCCGCCCCTCCCTCCCTCCGCGACCTCCATGCTCCCTCCCTCCCTCCACAACCTCCATGCCACCGGAGAGGAGGGCGACGGCAGCGGCTTCCGGCGAGCCGCCCCTCCCTCCGTGACCTCCATGCCACCGGAGAGGAGGGCGACGGCGGCAACTTCCGGCGAGGTTAGTGGATCTGAGCCCTCCTCCTCCAACTCCGCCTCTGGATCTGAGCTCTCCTCCTCCTCCTCCTCCACCTCCACCTCCTCTGGATCTGGATCTGAGGGATGCCGCGGTGGCTAGGGTTCCGACGAGCTCTGTTGCAGTAGCCTTGTTTTGCTGCTGCAACAAGTAATATTCATTTATTGCATTAGTCTCTTTTTTTCTGATATTGCATCTCGCATTGCGCTTTGTTTCTATTGTTGCAGTATTGTTGTTTTGCTGTTGCAATAAGTATTTTTCTTTGCTGCATTAGTCTTTTTTTTTGATGTTGCATCTCGCATTGTGCTTTGTTTCTTGTTGTTGAAGTAGTTTTGTTTTGCTGTTGCAACAAGTAATTTTTCTTTGTTGCATTAATTTTTTTTTGATGTTGATTTCTCGCAATTGCGCTTTTGTTCTGTTTTTGTTGCAGTAACCTTGTTACGGTGTTGCAACAAGTAATATTTTTTGTTGCATTAGTTTCTGTTTTCTGATGTTGCATCTCGTATTGCAGTAGCTTTGTTCTGTTGTTGCAGTCGCGATGAGGATGAGAGCGCGATGAGGATGCGACGCACCTAGCGTGGGCGCGGCGGGGGATGGGCGGTGTGACGGGATGGATAGGGGGGATGGGGCGGCGCGGTGGGATGGCGGCGCCTGCGGGATGGAACGAGTCTACTCTTCCGTGTGGCGGCGGGGCGCTAGGTGTTCCATTGTTTTGGTTGGGGATCAAAATGAGTCTACTATTTCCGGGGCGCGGGGCGCGTGGTTTCGTGCGTGGGGGTGGGACACTCGGACGGGACCGGAGGTACGTCCGGACGCGCCCCTGAATCTGGGCGTCCAGGCGCTAGGAGCGCCGTTGTTGTATTGCACAACAATTTTATATGGAACAAAGAAATATTAGGCACAAATTGTAGAAACTCAATCAATTAAAAATTTAAAACAGTTTATATCGACGTCGTATTATTTTAGGGCTGTCTGCAGCACGACTCAAATCAGGGCACGGCGCGATGAAATTTTGGGCCGTGTCATGCCTCGAACCCTGCCACGATAAGCTAGAGAAAAAGAAAATCAATGTACCTTTCTAAACTAATTACCCATATAGGTAAATCAGACTAAGTTGAAAATTTAGGGAGTTATTGGACTAAAAATATTATTTTTAAAAAATATCAAAAAATCACAGAATAATTTTTCAAAAGTTCCCCTTAAAAAGAAAAAAATTTCAAAAGTTTATCCAAATATTTATCCTAAAATCTGGTTTAACCTTAGAAAAAAAAAAAAATGAAAAGTTTATCCAAATATTTATCCTAAAATCTGAATTTAAGCTTATTTTGGTGCTTATTTGCTAGTAGGAGCTCTCATTTTCTATTATAATTAGTCAATTTGACCTGGAGTTTCATTTATTTGATTTATTTACTGGTGATATTGACGATGTGATGATTTCAACTCTTCTTCATTATGTATTTGGTGTGTTCTAGCGAAGAGTCATGTGAATAAGGTTCAGTTTATCGAAACTTGGCGGTTGATATGTTTCTTGTGATGAATGACTTTTGTAAGACTTCATTTGTTCTTTTGGGATTTTTTTCTTTTGATCTTTTTCAATTAGTATCTAATACTCTGTTCTCATTTCCAATGACTATGTTCTTTGGGTAGTTGATGTTTTTCAATTAGGTCATTTCAAACAAATGGTATTTCTGGTCTTTAAACAAAAGGACGTACCCAGTGTAGAGAGCTCCCGCTCTGTGTGGAGTCTGGGGAAGGATGTTAGTGGCAAGCCTTGCCCTCTCCTGTGCAATGCAAGGAGACCACGACTCGAACCCGGGACCTTCCGGCCATAGGCGGTAAGACTCTACCACTTACACCAAGTCCGCCCTTCCTGGTCTTCAAACAAAAAAAAAAGAATATAATTCTAGTATAGTAACTACTGAGTCAAACTATTTGAGATAGACTTGTGATGGTTTCATCTTCTTTTCCCTGTACTCCTTGATTTCTTCTGCAGTCTGGTAATTATATACATGTCAGCATGCAGGCATTTTATTTCTCAAGGAATCAACATCAATATTCTTCTTTCCATGGTACCACAGGTATGTGCACTTCAATCACTGCTGGAGCAGATAATGCACAGGTGAGGTGAAATGTACCTGGTGATCCACATAGGCTAGCCCTTTCCGTATTAACTCAACAGCATGGTCATACAGAGCTTGGAAATAGTTACTCGTGTATGTTACTTTGTAGGGCTCCCATCCCATCCAATGGACAATTTCCTGAATGTGGTCTATGTATTCTTTCTTTTCAGCTTCCGGATTTGTGTCATCAAACCTGTTGTTCAAATAAAAAACGGTAATGAAAAAGAACTGCAGTAATAACAATGTCTTAAAACAAATCAAGCAGAACTGAGCACAAGTCTCACAGGAGTGTAGGGGTAAATAAATATCGTATAAACAAGACATGAAGACAAGCAAAATTTCCAAGACCTACCAACAGAAGATTAGGAGGAAACAAAAATAAAAGGAAAACTCTTCTAATTTATTTTATACTCCAACTACACCGAAGATTAACCTAAAGCAGCATTAACAGCCATAAATGCTTGTAGAAAGGTATGTTAGCTAGAGCAAACCATTCCCAAAAGAAATCTTATTACCTAAGGTAGCAATGGCCACTTCGCTCCTTAGCCAGACCAAAATCAATAAACATAGCCTGTGTGATGAAGCTTGTAAGCATATACATCAATTTTAAAAATTTGGTGTGCAAGGAAATGCATTCATGAAGGAGATTATGAAAACCTTGGCATGACCAATATGAAGATATCCATTAAGTTCCGGTGGAAAACGGGTCATCACTTTTCCTCCAGTTGCCTTAAGATGTTTTTCTAAAATTTCTTTTGTGTTATGTGCTCTCCATATGTTCCCATCGCTGTAAAATATTTCTGTATGAACCTAGAATCACAAAAATATATCAGAAATTTAGAATCACTGAACAAATCTTATTATATGATGAAAAAAAGAAACAAATCAACGAACTAATCAATGTGCCTGAGTGCCACAACTATGACTTGTATCTTGTATGTCAGAGAATAGTGGAGAATACCTTAAAGTTTTCCTCTGGTTGGGGAAATATAGTATATGGGTTCAATTCCTCCTCAGTTGGTGGTGCAGCAGTGGCAACTGCATCTTTTTTCTCCTGCATTTTACAGAAACCATAACTAAGTGGTCCAATAAATAAAACTGCACTAGTTTAAACTTGAATGGTACATATGATTGCCGACCTCAACTTTTGCTGATTTTTTCTTCTTCTTTTTCACTGGTTTTATATTGTCAGTGTTAGATAATCTACTGCTACCTTGTGTGAACATAGTAAGAGAAGACGATGCTGAAAGGCCCCCTGCTGTGATACTGTAGCCGCTGCAGGTGTAGTAGCCCGCCACGGCTCACACTGCAACACTTGTGAGGCACATCAAGGTTGGCGGCAGTGAGAGTCAACCTCGCATGTTATCTAATCTTCATTGCAGCAGGGACATTTGTCTTTGAGACTAGATGGATATAGTTGTATAAATAGATTACCACGGCAACTCAGTAAAGAGAGTTTAGATTTGCTATCTCATAGACTGGGCTTCGACCAACGCTGGTGTCTTGTATTGTGTGTGCTTGCTCTGTTCTTCCTTCTTCTTCTAACTCTAGCCATAGTGTGTGGGGACGGACAACGCTTATTCGTGGTCGGCACGACTAGGGGTGCTCGGCAACACTAGCGGGTGCTCGGCAAGACTGGAGAGTGGTTCACTCACCTGAGCCGGTGATCCTGTGGGGGTAACAAGTGGTATCAGAGCCGTACAAGCGCCGTCGCCAGACTAACCGCTGGTGATGATGAGCGGTTCGAAGATGAGCGACAACAGTGACACTACCGCCACTGCTGTGGCAGCCCAGCCACAACCGGAGGTCGTTGTTCGCACAGTGTGGGAGGTCAGCGGCACCAGTTGGCCGACGCTGACTCGCACCAACTATGAAGAGTGGTCGGTGACCATGAAGGTCAAGCTCAGAGCCCGACGGCTCTGGAATGCTGTTGACAAGGGCACCGACAATGAAGAAGATGACATGTCAGCGCTGGAGTCTATCCTCGCTACTGTACCGGCGGAGTATAGGGAGCCATTGGGGCGAAGCTCTCGGCTAAGGAGGCGTGGGAGGCTATTGCGGCGATGCGTGTCGGTTCTGACCGCGCAAAGAAGGCAACGGCACAGCTTCTGAAGCAGGAGTACGCCAACCTCAAGTTCAAGGATGGTGAAATGATGAAGGTCTTCTCTCTCCGCCTGCAGACGCTCATCAACAAGCTGAAGAGCCATGGCGTCACTATCGACGAAGAAGAGGCGGTCTCTAAGTACCTCCACTCCGTGCCGGCAAAGTACATCCAGATCGCTCTCTCCATAGAGACGATGCTGGACTTGTCCACCCTCACCATTGAGGATGTGACATGTCGTCTGCGGGCGGTGGATGAGCGCCTGGAGTAGGCGACAGCAACAAAGGACATCGGGAAACTCCTGCTGATGGAAGAGGAGTGGGTTGCTCGGAGAAACTCCAAGAAGGCAGCCTGCTCCAGCCGCGGTGGCAATGGCAAGCGCCGCAGTAAGGCTTCTTCGGAGAAGAAGCAGGTCGACCCCAACGTCTGTCGGCGTTGCGAGAAGATGGGACATTGGGCACGGGAGTGCCCAAATCGCAAGCAGGAGAAGAAGGCTCAGGCTCATCTGGCGTAAGTTGATGATGAGGATGAGGCCACTATGCTGATGACGATGTTCTGTGCGCTGCACGACGTCGAGGCCGAGGAGAAGGATGAGGTGGCGATGGTGGAAGGACCTGGGAAGGCCCTGAAGACTGTCAACCTCGATGAACCACGCGCCCAAGTCCACCTCGGACGTGTGGGCGCCGACTAGGAGCAGCGGTGGTATCTGGACTCTGGTGCCAGCAACCACATGACGGGCTCCAAGGCATCCTTCTCCAAGCTCGACGACGATGTTACCGGTACGGTGAAGTTTGGTGACGGCTCAAGGGTGGCTATCCAAGGGCGTGGCATCATTATCTTTAGGTGCCCGAACGGGGAGCACCACGCGCTAACGGATGTATACTACATCCCACAGCTGCGTTCCAACATCATCAGCATTGGTCAGCTGGATGAGCGCGGTAGCGAGGTACTGATCAAGGACGGAGTCCTTAGGATCAGGGACCGAGAGCAGCGACTTCTTGCCAAGGTGAAGAGGTCCCTGAACCGGTTGTACCTGCTCAACCTGAAGGTAGAGCAGCCAGTGTGCCTAGCGGCAAGGCACTCTGAGGAACCGTGGATGTGGCATGCCCGGTTCGGACATCTCAGCTTCGACGCGCTTGGTCGGCTGGACAAGATGGTCCGAGGGCTACCCCACATTAAGCACGGAGGCGAGCTGTGTGACAGCTGCATGGCCGGGAAGCAGATGAGGCTACCTTTCCCAAAGGCGGCCAAGTATTGCGCGAAGGACGCTCTCGAGCTCATCCACGGTGACCTCTGCGGGCCGATCACGCCTGCTACAAATGGTGGTCGGCGATACTTCCTCCTGCTCATGGATTATTGCAGTCGCTACATGTGGTTGCAACTCCTGATGAGCAAGGATGAAGCGGCAGCGGCGGTCAAGAAGTTCAAGACGCGCGCGGAGGCCGGGAGCGGTAAGAAGCTCCGTGCGCTGAGGACTGATCGGGGCGGCGAATTCACTTCGGTGGAGTTCACCGCGTACTGCGTGGATCAGGGTGTGGGACAACACCACACCGCGCCATACTCGCCACAACATAATGGCGTGGTGGATCGATGGAACCAAACGGTGGTCGACATGGCTCGATCCATGATGAAGGCCAAAGGCTTGCCGGCAAGGTTTTGGGGTGAGGCGGTGACCACAGCGGTGTTCATCCTCAACCGTGCTCGACCAAGGCCCTGATGGGCAAGACGCCGTTCAAAGCTTGGTATGGGCGCAAGCCGAGCGTGTCCTTCCTCCGGACATTCGGCTGCATCGGCCACGTCAGGAAGACAAAGCCCAACCTTACCAAACTGGAGGACAGGAGCACACCCATGGTGTTCCTGGACTACGCGGAGGGTACCAAGGCGTACTGGCTCTATGACCCACGCGGAGATAAGGTGCTTGTCTCGCGCGACGTTGTGTTCGATGAGGAGGCGGCTTGGGACTGGAGCAGTCCGAGCATGGGGGAAGTTGGCAGCTTTACCAAAACCTTCATCATCGAGCACTTGGTCATCCATGGTGGTGGAGACGCTGGGGAAGAGGTGCCAAGCACTCCGGCGGCACAGCCGAGCGTTCCTGGGGCAGTGCCGAGCACTTATAGAGGGATGCCGAGCACGCCAGGAGTGGCGCCGGGAGGTTCTGCAGTGGTGGTGACCACTCCAGGACGGGTGCCGAGCACTCCATGGCGGAGCCAAGACGTCTTTATAGTGGTGTCGACCACTCCAAGACTGAGGCAAGGCACTCCTATAGTGTGGCCCAACACTGCAGGAGTTATGACGAGCTATCCAGAAATAGTGCCGAGCACTGCAACTAGGGTGACAAGCACTCAAGGTGCTATGCCAAGCACTTCGACGGAACAGGGAACTCCATCGACGCCGATCAAGTTCGCCTCACCTCCAAGTAACATCACTGAGTTCGTGGATGCCTTCCACGAAGGTGAGGAGGTGTGGTTTCCATAGGCTAGACGACATCATCGGTGGCACAGGTCCCTCAAGTCTAGCGGGAAGGCTGCTCAATGATGCAGAGCTGCTACTCGTCAGTGCTGAGGAACCACCCATGTTTGCGCTTGCCGAGCACGATGGAAACTGGCGATGGGCAATGCTGGAGAAGATGAAGGTGATCGAGGAAAATGAGACTTGGTAGCTCATCAACCCACCTCCAGGATGCCGTCCGATCAGCCTGAAGTGGGTATATAAGGTCAAATGGGACGAGCTTGGTGCCATTGTCAAGCACAAGGCGCGCCTCGTCGCCCGAGACTTTGTTCAGCGCGAGGGCATAGACTTCGAGGAGGTCTTTGCTCTAGTAGCGTGCATGGAGTCGGTCCATTTGCTACTTGCTTTGGCAGCAACAAAGGACTGGCACGTCCATCACTTGGACGTTAAATCGGCCTTCCTCAACGGTGAGCTGGCGGAAACGGTCTTCGTCAGGCAACCTCCAGGTTTTGCCATCAAGAGAGAGGAGCACAGGGTGCTCCGATGCATAAAGGCGCTCTCACGAACTGCGGCAGCCCTCGAGCATGGAACGCCAGGCTTGGTTTCAGCGGGAAGCTTGGGTTTCAGCGGTGCGCGCGAGAGCACGCGCTCGCGTGGCGACGGGGAAGGAGGAGCTCATCGTTGGCGTGTATGTGGATGACTTAATCGTCACCGACGCACGCATGGAGGACATCAACAGCTTCAAGCACGAGATGGTGGCTCATTTTCGAATGAGCGATCTCGGCACACTCTCCTACTACCTCGACATCGAGGTGAGACAGGGGAAGGAGAAACTCACGCTTGGTTAGAGCGCGTATGCCTCCAAGCTGTTGGAGAGAAGCGGCATAGCTAAGTGCAAGCCATGCGTAACTCCGATGGAGGAGCGGTTGAAGCTGACGAAGGCTAGCACCGTGGCGAAGGTGGATGCGACACTCTACTGGAGCATCATCGGCGGTTTGCGATACCTAGTCCACAAGAGGCCGGACATTGCGTTCGCCGTGGGCTACGTCAGTCGCTTCATGGAGGATCCCAGAGAGGATCACTGGGCTACGGTGATGCGGCTACTGCGCTACGTCAAGGGGACGGTAGATCATGGGATCATCTTCCCAAAGACCGGCGAGAGTAGGCTGCAGCTCACTGTGTTCAGCGATGCAGACATGGCAGGGGACATCGACGGACAACAGAGCACCTCTGGGGTGCGCGTATTCCTCGGATCGGCCCTAATTTCATGGCTGTCGCTGAAATAGAAGGTGGTGGCGCTATCTACATGCGAGGCAGAGTACGTAGCGGCGGCCACAACGGCATGCCAAGTTGTGTGGCTACACCGGCTGCTGGGCGAGCTGACCGGCGCGGAAGCTCACCCACCAGCACTGATGGTGGACAACTAGCCTGCCATTGTCCTCACGAAGAATCCGGTTCTGCACGACCGGAGTAAACACATCGACGTGAAGTTCTACTTCCTCAGAGACTGT